TGCTTGCAAGCAAATTCAGTGCAGACTCAGGCAAGCAAATTTGAGAGACTGAGCTAGCCGATGGCAGATAGATAGATCACTGAATGATTCTGTGAGCAACTCAATCTGCCTGCTTTGCCTGATTTTGGGTAAAAGTTGCTCTTTTTTATAAAAAAATCAATATTTACATGCATGGTGTTGTGAGTTAATTTTGTGAGTTTGCTTGCAAGCAAATTTTATGTGACAGACTGAGCTAGCCAATGGCAGATAGATAGATCTCTGAATGAATCTGTGATTCTGTGAGCAACTCAATCTGCCTGCCTGCTTTGTCTGATTTTGGGTAAAAGTTGCTCTTTTTTTAAATAAAAAAATCAATATTTATATAAATATTTATAATATTTACATACAAGCCATGTCCAGCCAGTCACATGACCACCAAGCCATACCCACAAATTAGGCCATGCACACAGAACTGGTTAGTGGTCCCTGGGATCTAAAATTATGAGTTTGGTGGTCCCAGAGGTCCAAAAGGTTGGCGACCCCTGATCTAATTCATTCTCAAGAGATTTACATTATTTTGGGCTGTGATCTCAATAATTTCAATGAAACCTTTTTTATGGTAACCACAGTCCATCTAAGATCTAGTCTATCTTCTTTCTCTTTGGAATGATTTGTAACTTTATTTTAATATTTTTTTGTAAACATGGTCCTTGAAAGATTCTTGAACTGTTTGCAAAGGCACATATCTATTCCTGGTTTGGCTTCTTGTATCAGGCATGATTCACCCAATGCTTCACTCCACTAAGTGAAGTCTTACAACCCCAACCATACCAGACCTTTGTCCCATTTTCTTTTGTTCAACAATTCTCAACAGTCTCTAGGTAATGGAAGCCACAGATCAGTGAGCCCCATTTATTCATTTATTGAATTATTTAAAAAATATTTTACTTGAAAAACAAGCATGCCCAGCTGTTTTGGGTCACATTCTCTCAGAATAAATTCATAAAATTAAATCGGTATAACACACGCCACAGACTTCTCTGTCAACATGTAATGCCCTGGGTTTCTTTTGTGAGAGTTCTATCACAATTTCCAGGTGAGATTCAAAACCTTACTTACTGCACACCATCAGAGTGGGCATTCAGACTGGTACTGACAAAGCACTACTAGTAGAGTCCTAAGTACAATTCTCTTCACAGAAGAGAGGACAAATATTTCCAAAGGAAGGCACCTGACAGTTGTGGTTCTGGCCTTGCAGCATTTTGGAGAATCTCAAAAGAAAAGTGGGGTAGGGGGAGGAAAACTGGCTGTTTTCAGAAACTGGAATGATAAGACACATACAGGAATTATTACATCCTTTTCCCTTTTAAAAAGTAACAAGAATGAAGTCTTTAATAACTATTACACAATAAAAACAATTTGTGATGAAAAGAATGGCAACACAACATAAAACTCCAGTTGTAAGGACGTAATTTGCATACTTGATTTGACACCACCATTTTGGTGCATAAGAAAATGGGACAACAGAGGGGGCGATATAAAGAGCAACATAACTTTAGTGCTTTAAGTACCAGAAATTGCACATGTTTGTGTGCTAGTCAGTGAGCTAGAATCCTTGAGACTTCATTTTTAGCTTATGTTCCTTGTGATTTTAGAACAGGGAGATCATATTGAGTAGTACATTCCCCATTTTTAAACTGATGCCTTTAAAAAAATCTGTATGTATGTCATCATTTTTCACATGATACACAAAAAACTCAAGGTCCCAGTGAGGGAAGCAAGTTTTGTTAATACCATTTACAAACTATCAAGGAGTCCACAGCTATCTAACACATTTACTACCACACAGGAACAAATGAAGGTACAGTGTACAAAAACTGTAAACACAGTACAATAAATAGATAAAACAGCAGGTTCCTCACCATGCACATGATGTCATGAGACTTCATCTCTATACAATCTCACTTCTTACGCTCTTTGTTGCAATTCTCCCCCCCCCCAAGTGCAAAGCATCACAAATGAACAGTTCTGTATTCAATTAACATATATACAACGGAATTACAAATATGAAGCATTATACAGATAATTGCTGTTATATTAATTTACAGATGTTCTTTCCTATTAACAGTAAAACCAAAGCATGAGAGATATGCACTGCTGTCAAGTTCCCACAGCTACCACGGAAACAATATGCTGCATTCCATCCTCCCTTGCATTCAAATTGCTGATGCAGAACACCTAAACAAGTTCACAGAAGTTGGAGTTTCATTACGTCACCTCCATTGCTACTGCATTGTCTGCTATATTGTTCAGTGCTGACTTTTCTGTTTCATGGTTTTCTCTGTGAAATGAAAGTGGAAAGAACACAAATGCATTTTTAAGCCATTATTAAAAATGGTAAAAGTACTTATTTTCCATCTTTGAAACTTCAGTGTAGTGTAATTCAATTCAATTCAACTCAATTCAATCTTTATTGATTAGCCTTTGGGCCATATCAAAGTGCAGAATTCCAGAAACAAATTATTACTAAAATTTGATAAAAGCAATTTAAAATGGAATTGGATAAAATACAATTTTAAATGAAATTGGAATAAAATATGATTTAAAATGAAATTGGAATAAAGTACAGTCTAAAATGAAATTGGAATAAAATACAATAATTTAAGATATAGATAAAATATGATAAAATTATATTTTGGTGTCACCCCTGCAATCTACCCCAATCACTCCCACATATGCAGATCTCAACTGAACCATTTTGCTTAAGTACTGTGCTATATTAAATGTTATTTTCAGATTCTGGCCGCACATAAGGTAAGTTGTTTTGATATGGGGGTCTCAATGTGTCATTCATTTGGTATATAGACCGAGGTACCTGTCTCTCACTCTCTTATACAGGCAACAGTCAAACAGGACGTGAGCCAGGTCTTCTACCTCTACCGCTCTGCAAATGCAGAGACGTTCATTGTAGGGTATAGAATGGAATCTCCCATATCTGACCATTGTGTAGAGCTTTTGCTCTAAGTGTACTCTGTTGATGATGGCAAGCCCAAGATATAGTCTTGGAAAAGGTTATGCCTAAATATACAAAGGTGTTAAACCTGTTCAATTGGTTCACCGTCTAATTGCCATCTATGTTTCTGATGATGTTTTCCAAACACCATGATTTATTTAGATTTACTAATAGTTAGGGAGTTAACTTGGCAATAAGAGCTGAATAATAGCCTACGTAATCCTACTTGTGAATATGATAATAAAATCATATCAGCATAGAACAAGCTATTACAGTATGTATTTAGGATCATCAGCATATGTACCATGGGATCCTTCATTAACCCTGGCAAGTCATTGATATATAAACTAAACAGGTATTTGTGTAAAGGGCTTTAATCAGGTTCTATTTTAAGAGATGTCAGTTTTCTCCATAGTACTTCTGTTTACCATATCAAATGCTGCTGTGAGGTCTATAAAAGCAGCAAACAGGGGTCTCCTCTTATAGGCATATCTGGCAATTAGTTGGTTCAAGACATAGCAGTTGTCAATAATGGATTGGCTTTGTTTTAAACCTGCTTGTTCTGCAAGGACATGGAAAACTCTACCCAGATTTCAGTTCTATTTAAAAGAAACCTAGCATATATTTTTGCTACAATCATTCAGCAGGTTCTGACCAGTTCGGGAGAACCGGTAGTGGAAACTTTGAGTAGTTCAGAGAACCGGTGGTAACCTTCCCCCTGGAGTGCGGAGGGAATGGAGATTTTGCAGTATCCTTCCCCTGCCACACCCATCAATCCATGCCACACCCACCAAGCCACGCCCACAGAACTGGTAGTAAAATTTTTTGAATCCCACCACTGGCTACAATGTCAATCAGACTGATGGGCCTGTAGTTACTAGCATCCTTTTTATTTCCTTTTTTATATATGGGGACAACTATTGCCATCTTCCACCCATCTGGTATATGGAAGGTGTAATAAAATATTTCTTTACATTTTCAAGTCTGTGTTCTCATATTTATGGAAATGTTATGGGAAAATGCACCATCTACACCTCAAAATGAGATATTGCCAAGCTGAAATAAGATTTTAATAGAGAAAACCAGTTGTTTTTTGGGGGCAGTCAGTTCATTAGAATAAATATTCCTAAACTTCTCAAAGGAAAGAAAACTACCTGCAGCTTTAATGTAGCCAACATTGGGTACAAGTATATTAATCCAACTCCAACACCATCCCCTCAAACCTGGGCCAATAATGAAAATATTAATGAAATTGATGAAAAGACAGATGTAGCATTCTTTGAGTGAAGTCTGAATCCTGACAATTTCTTGAACAAATCCATGGAGTCATCATCTGGGATTTTTCATTTGAATTCCCAATCTATAGCCCTGGTATTTCCAGGTAATGTCCTATCCCAGTATTTGCCAGATTTATATCCTGCATTTTTCATGAGCTCAAGGTGGTATCCACAGCACCAGGGGTGGGCTTCAAATTTTTTAGCAAGGGGCTCTCTGCCCTAATGACTGCCTGGGTGGGCATGGCCAACTCAATGCCACTCCCACCCAGTCACATGACCCCCAGCCACGCCTACCCAAGGGTTTTGTTGCTGCTGGTGTTTTCTGTGGGAAATAGGTGTCTCTCTCTCTCTCTCTGTCCCCCTCCCTCCCATTTCTGTTTTCTCTCTTTTTCTACTCCCTCTCTTCTTTTTCTTTCCTTTCTTTCCCTCTTCTCTCTTTTATTTCCCTCTCTCTCATTTTCTCCCTCCAGCTCTCTCATTTCTCTCCCTCTCCCCCTTCTCACATGTTTCTCTTTTTCCTCTCTTTCTCTCCCTCCATCATTTCCCCATTTCTCCTTCTTTTTCTCCCCTTTTCTCTCTCATTTCTTTCTCTCCCTTTTTTCTTTTTCCTCTCCCTTTCTTTTTTCCTCTTCCTTCTCTCTCTCATTTGTTTCCCTCTCTTTTCCCTCTCTCTCATTCTCTCCCTCCAGCTCTCTCTCATTTCTGTGTCCCTCTCCCCCTTCTCTCTCTCTGTCATTTGTTTCTTTCCTCTCTCTCATTCTCTCCCTCCATCATTTTCTCATTTCTCTCTCACCTGAGCGGGGACAGGGGTGGGATTCAAATGTTTTAACAACCAGTTCTCTGGGCATGACTTAATTTGTAGGTGTGGCTTGGTGATCACATAACTGGGTGGGCGTGGCTTGCTGACTGGGCGTGGCTTGGTGATCACATGACCAGATGGGCATGGCTTGGTGGTCATGTGACTGGGTGGGCGTGGCCAGGTGGCCATTTTACTAGCAAACCAAATACAAGTGGTCCTCGCTTAATCGCTGGTTGCTTAGCAAGTGTTCTAATTTATGACTGATCTCCCCAGAGCTACTTGACCTGTTTTTGGAGTTTTGACAGCCATGCATACACACACACTTCTAACCCTGCTATTCTATGATTCTGTAAGGATCTCCTGCTGGAGCAGGGGGTTGGACTAGAAGATGATCTCCTTCCAGGCCAGCCCTGGATTGCTGTGCTGTTTCAAAGAGTCTTCTGAAGCCAGGGTTTGTGTCCTTCCTTCCTCTCCTTTTTTCTCTCTCTCTCTTTCCATGTATCTATCTATCCATCCATATATCTAATTCACTTTCTCCTCTCTCTCTTTCTTTCTCTCTCTCTCTCTCTCTCTCTCTCTCTCTCTCTCTTTCTGTCCCTTCCTTCCATCCCCCTTCCTTTGTCTATCCCTTTTCTTCCTTTCTCTTCCTTTCTTTCTCCCTTTTTCTTTCCCTTTTCTCTTTCCTTTCTTGTCTCTTCCTTCTCTCTCTCTTTCCCCCTCTCTCTTTCTTTCCCTCTTTCTTTCTCCTTCTGTCTTTCCCTCTCTCCATCTCTCTTCCTCCCTCTTTCTCCCTCTTTCTCTCTCTCTCTATCCCTTCCCTTCCTCCTTCCCTCTCTCCTCCTAAAGCTAGGAGACCCACCTGAAACACACACACACACACACACATTTCCAACAAAGTACTCGCCCAGCAGCGTCGGTTGTGATGAGGGTTCTTCCTGGCCAGTCTCCCAGAGTCCCAGGGACCGGGCACGATTGTCCGTTCACGCCCGGTCCCGCGTTGCCTGGAAAAGCCAGCAGGCAAGGCTTCCGGGTCCAACAAAGGGGCTGCAGGCGGGACTTCCTCCCCTCCCACTTTTGGGCTGGGAATTTCAAGCGAGGAGTGCACTGCAACCTCACCCACCCCGCCAGCAGCTCTGGGCTAGGCAGCAGTTTGGCCTTTCCCGACTGCCTGCAAACTTACCTTCCTCCTGTGGCTAGTGGCAGAGGGAGAGGTGAGCCAGCTAGGGCACAGCCGTCACCACTTGGCTCCCTGCCAGCCCGCATCTCGTCCCCTGCTCGGATTCTCCGCAGCTGCTGGGGCTCGCAGCTGCCGGGGGGGGGGGTGCAGGAGGTGACCAGGAAGCACAAGGCTACACTACCTGCATCGTCCTTCTGCCAGCTACCCCTCCTTCACCAGGCTGAGCATTTTAGCCGAGTATGGGAGGCAACCAGGGACCACGAGGCTATGCCGCACGCATTGCCCCGGCAGAGGGAAGGGGCGGCAGGCAAAGGGGAGATGTGGGCCAGGCGGCATAGCATTGTGCTCCCTGGTTGCCCCACCCCACCCCCACCCCTAGCAGGCAAGGCCCAGTAGCTGCAGAGAATCCAGGTGGGGGGGCAAGATGCAGGCTGGTGGGGACCCGAGCGGCGATGGTTCAGCCCTGGCTCGCCTTCCTCTCTGCCACCAGTAAGCCAGGTAAGCTGGAGGCTGGGGACAGTGGGGGGGGGGGAAGCTTGCTAGGCCATGAGTGCCGCATGCTGCGGTGCTGGAAGCTAAGCAAGCCAGACAGTCAGGACGGTTGCAGGGGAAGCTTGCTAGGCCGCGAGTGCCACATGGGATGGAGCCGCGGCGCTGGCGGCTAAGCAAGACGAACAGGGACGGTTGAGGGGGAAGCTAGGTAGGCCACAAGCGCTGAGGGCGGTGGCGGCCTAAGCTGGCCCGGGAGTCGAGACTCAACCGGGGCTTGTGGCAGTGGTGGTGGCAAGGGCGAGGGTGGCAGTGGTAGCGTGGTGGTGGCAGTGGTAGCATGGTGGTGGCAGCCTAGGCTGGCCCAGGAGTTGGGACTCAACTGGGGCTGGCAGCGGCAGCAGCATGTAGGCGACCAGGGCTTGCAGAGCCTCAATCACCTAGGGAAATCATGGTGGAAGGCAGACAGCGATGGCTGGTGGGCAGGCAGGTGGGCGAAGACAGACTGCAGGCAGCGATGGCACATGGCCGAAATAAGGATGGGCAGGGCAGGGCGGGGGAAGAATGCAGTCAGAGATTGTTGTGCATGTGTGCAATGTCACGCATGTGCAATAAGGACTGACTGGGAAGGGAGCGGAGAAGCAGGCAGAAAGGGGCAGGGCCAGCCAGGGGCCTGATTTACCGGTTCTTTGAACTAACGAGAATCATAACAATCGGTTCTACCGAACCGGTCTGAACTGGTAGAATCCCACCCCTGCAGAAATTAGAGACAGTTTGAAAGAATTTTCTACTGAGACTAGACACCCATACATTTTTTCTTTTTCAAGGATAAGACTTCAAGGTGATAAAAAGTAAGAAAAGCACTTACCTTGATACTGTGTTCACAGAGGATGAGGCTGGCACCTGACAGTTTGCTGCAGCCAGCTTTAAGGCAGATGATGGAACAGCACTTAGAGTCCTAGGCATGTGACATGCATTGAGCATATTAATAGAGTTTGCAGTGGCAACAGATGAGGGTACAGTTAATCTAATGTTGTTCCCAAACAGAACCTGGGTTGTTGTAGAATTGGCAGCAGTTACATGGTGACTCAGTGCACTGTGAGAACTTAAAGTCTCTGTTATATTTGAAGGCTGTAATATGGCTGAACCTGCTATTGATGAGCTTGTATGTACAAGTGATGTAGGCAGAGTACTACTGAAGTGTAAGCCTTTATATAATCCTGTGAAATAAGTAAAAAACAATAATCTCACCCCAAATGACAATAATAACAGGTTACTGGCTTAACTCTCTCTCTCATATACATCCCCCCCCCCAATAATTATACTTTGTGGTACTATAATCATTACCGTTTCTTACCTGAGGATTGAAGGATGCCATTCATCCCAATTCCAAGCACCACATCATCCTTCATTCTGAATCCCATGAGCTGTTCTGATGTAATCAAGGCTGAAGCAGCAAACTGAGCACTGACAGAATCCAATGTCTTGGAAATAAAACCCTTTTAAAGAACATCAAGCTATAATCACACACTGCAATAATATAATAACTACTAAATTATTGAAAATCAAACCAGTTAAAACTAATTGACATAATGAAGTCTAAAGCCACTATAATTAAAATGTCAAATAGCCCCACAAAAGCAGAGGCCAACAAATAGAGCATTTCTTATTCAAACATACAGTATATAAGGGAGGGAAGAGTACACAATCCTAAGAGAAATAACTTAACAGCCATAAAGGCATGCACTTCTGCTTAAAAAAAACATTTTATTTTTTTAAAGCAAGTACTTGATTACTAGCAGTAAGTATATACACAACTATAAAACTAATTATTGCTATTTTCTGACTAAAAGAATGTTCTTTTCACCAGAATTTTAAACTATAGCATGTTCTATTTTTAAAACACTTGAATAAATCAAACTCAGCCAAATGGCACATGCTGTAACTAGTTTTTCTATCCTTTAGCAAGCTAATTTAAGAAGAGGTGAAAAGCTTTAATTCCTGAAAACACTGAAGGGTTTAAAGTGTGATGTCATTCACATATGGAGGGATTGAACTGTAAATTTATTTGAGGGGAGAAGGGAATACAAACATATACAATCTAAATGAGTTATCTAGAATTCTTTAGAATACAATTATAATGGTATCTATCCATCAAGACTTGCCTGTACTGCAACACAAGCTCTCTGCCTCTGCGGTGTGCATTTAATGTTGTGATGCTGTTGACATCAATCAGACTCCTCTTGGTCTCCTCTGCTGCATATTTACAAAGATTTAAAATACTGAATCACCTTTTTCCCTTCGCAGAGCTGGGGTGGGCATGATGCATCCGGCCTGTGGGCTGCCAGTTTGACACTCCTGCTCTATGCAGCCCATGGGCCGGATGCGTCACATGCTGGCCCTGCCCCCGCCTGGTTTAGCGAAGGGGAAAAAGTCCTGATACGTCACATGACACCGCTGTGATGATGTGAGTTTGACACCCCTGCTCTAGAGCAGCAGTCGCCAACCGGTGGGCCGCCGCCCACTGGTGGGCTGTGAGAAAATTTTGGTGGGCCGCAGAGAAATCTCACCCCCAGAGCACCCCCACAAAGCAATTAATCCAGGCTGCGCAGAAACACAAGGCTGCGCCGCCCACATGGCCCGAACCCTCCCCGCCCACTCACTCCTTACCCGGTAAACTTGCCTGCTAAATTGCTATTTTTCCTTTTTCCGACCATCATTTGTTCTGCTGTGCCAGGAGATTTAGATTAGCTAGGAAGCAGGAAATGGTTGGATTTCTTGTTTTCTA